TCACGAAAGTCTCATTAAAGTCTTAGAAAATTTAAAAAAATGAGTTTTTGCTTTTTAAACTCAAATTTTAGTTTTTCCAGACTTAAATCCTCCTAATCCTCTAAATAAATATAACCTTATCTATGAAGTTACACGAGCCACACCAATGATCAACGTAGGTGTACCATAATACTCTGATTCATTCTAATGCTGAGTTACATGCACAATATTTACAGCTTGCGATACACGTAATACAAGTCATGAATGAAATAATAATCGTAATACAAACGGAGAATGCACCACACGGAACGAAAGGGCCAGCCTAGCTTAAAGGTAAAAACTTGAACATATATAAAATATGATCAAAACCATCTATTTAGAAACGTCGAGATAACTGTACCTGTAATAATATGGCACACGTTGCTTTCTGGTATGTATTTCGAGTATTGGAATAATATAATAGCTGGGGATATTAAATTACACATTACATATTACACATGTAAATATTGAAGAAACGCGGTAGATAAATAGATAGGTAACGAGCGTGCGTGAGGCGCACCCTTCGAAAGGCTATTAAAGGTTCATTAGTAAAAGCGTAGGTTGGAGCTGCATGCCCTCAAAAATTTATAATGAAATGTAATGCGTTTTGTTGCGTTTTTGTGGTTGAAAAGTGAATATATAAATTCAGCTACACCTAAAACACTCCTTGTTTTATTTTGTAAAACTTGTTAATATTTTTTAACCTGTTGGTCATGTTCTTCATGTATTCATTTCAATTTTCCGCTCTGATTGAGTGCTCCGTTAATCGCCTCCATTGGCCGGCTCCTGATTAAAATGCTCTGATTACAATCAGTAATTAGTCTCGACTTTGACGGCGCTCTGTTTCGCCAATTTCGCGATTTACGATTCGCACACGTAAAAGTGACTTCCGCGCGGGCCTTTTAATTAATATCGAAATAAAATCACAGAATGTGCACTACATGCGCGGTCAAACGCGGGCGATTAAAAATAGCGAATTTATGCGCGCCAATTAGCTAACAGTAATTAAATTATTATTACTTTAAGCGTGCGCGCGCGCCCGGTAAGCGCATAAATTCAATTCGCGCTTTTGCACATTGCGCACGATTTAAACGGTGAAAATGGACGAGGCGCGACTGGCGAGAACATGTAATCAACGTGTAATATTTTTCAGTGTTTCAGTACTTACTTCTTCGGGTTGTTGGGCAATTTTACGGCTTCCTGTCTTTGCAATTTGCTACGCTATTTATATAAATTAATATTATTCCAAAGCGCCAGACCATTATTTATAATTACGTATAAGTAAATATAAAACTGATTGTTCTGCCATTGCGCATGCGCAGCATTAGTCACGATAACAATATAAAGTTCTATTTATAAACCTGCTGTTTATTATTTACTAAACTCTTGAAAATCTTGATAACATTCATGTCAGCAAATGTGCGATTTTAAGTTGCAAACTGGTTCATAATTGTTTCTTCACACGACATCAAGTAAATCGTATTTTCCGAAGCGTTTTGTTTAATTATTCCTAGTCATGGATGACACAACAAAGTTTGACTGCGAAAACTTTGCTCCAACTTAATTTTAGTTTCAAATATTATCAGGTTAATTAGTTGTGTGAGAATTCTTAAAACAAATATACATTTTTAAGTTATAACACTTTTAGCATACGTGAGAAAAACGCCTTAATATTGATTAACGCCCCAAAGTACTTTGCATTGTATATTTAATTAGTTACGTTGGTCATTCACAATAAAATAGAATCATTGTGCGGCTTTATACCGCCCGTAACATGAATTTAATTTCACGGATTTTATAAGTTGAAAATTTATTAACCTTCAATTTTATTGTGTTTAATTTTTATGTTCCGTCCCATTTGTGTTTTACTTTTTTTGTAAATAGGTTATTTTACTAGCACGCCATCTGTAAATGAAAAGATGATGGTAAATTGGTTTTATGCAAAAAATTAACGAAGACAGCATCTGTCGTGACAAAAAATCTTTTCTAGTAAACCGAAGAATAAAGAAGAAAGCTTCCAACAAGTCACCGTTGGAAGTCAAAACGCGGACATTATTTTATCTTCGATTTCCAATTAAATTTATTATTATAATTGGCTCTACGAAATAACTTACAAATATAGAATAATATAATTGACCGGCCGCATACCTCACGGAAACCAAAAAACCATAAACGCACATCGCCATTGATTGGAGATTTTTAATGCGAATTAAACGCATTTTGCAACCGACACACTTTTTCCGCGTCTTGCTATAGAATTAATTCAATAGGCAATTGGAATTGTCGCTGTAATCTATCCGCACGCATTCCACTCAACAGATCAAGTAGTATTCATCCTAGTTTTCAATTCTTTAGAACTCATTACGAGTATATCACATCACGTGTTAATAATACATTCACAAAAAGATTCCTCAAACAGAAGTCGACGATAAATTAGTGAATAGCTGAACGGAACTGGGAATTCAATACACTCGATTTGAATAAGCATGTAAATATTAAATGAGAAATGATGTGGTTGTGGTACACATTTGGTAAAATATGTGCGGCCTGAATTTTATGCAAATTTATGCGTCCACTATGAATAATGAACGCCGGGCATCGACTTGCTTCTGTTCGCGTTTATTTCGATTCTTTTCCGTCGTAAAAATATGAAAAACGATGCGTATTTGAATCGACACATAAATAACCTCTACGTTACCCGAATTGTTGGCTTTAATTAAGTTTGATTTTTATTGCCCGCTTAATATACGTGATAAACGTGAATTGTGCTTGATTTATTCATCTTTCTCTTCTTGGACTCTTGGAGAGCAATAATGAAGGTAAATATTTTGTATAAATAATACAGTAAATCTTGTTTTTTGGGTTAAAAGCGTTATAAAAGATTTTCGAAAAAAAGTTGGCAATATTTACGCTGTTACAACAAATAAAACGTTGTAAAGTAAATGGTAGATTTCAGCGAATACCGGAACGTTCCAGGAAAAACGATTAAAACGAGATTTCGCTGGTACAGCGAAAACTTCTTGAGACACTGAGTCACTAATCGCTTTCTCATCTCTCATCTCAGCTTCACATCATCACGAAGCCTTGAAATCGCAAGGGGTACATCTTAAAACACGTCCCAACTTAAACAAACCCATTGAAAGCAACCCAGAATACAAACAAAACATTCATCCTTTTCAATTGTCAAGTTTTATCTTTTTTATTCATTAAATCTCTTTTATTTAAAAATGAACAGTGGACGCATTAAAAATATGTTTTAAATTTATATTTATTTACAGTTGGGACTGGTCAATGGCCGAAAAACGAATTGAAAATGCATTAGGTATGCTCGCGTTGAATTGTTATTGTTATCGAATGCATTTAAATGCCAAAACGTAATAAAATTCATACAGTTATGCGGCGATGTATGGCACACCGGAAATTTTGGTCGTTTCAGCGCTGCGCCGGAAATCAACCAATTATCAAATTCAATAACGCACTCACAAACTTGCATTTACCGCAAAACCTACTTATATACTTAACAGTAACTAGTTAAAAGAGTATCACACATAAAAAACCCATTATAATTAAGTGATTCACTAAATTAATTAATTTTAAGACCTGTCTCCGGCTTCAACTGATTGAAAAGATTTCTGATCAGTTTTTTATCATCTGTATCAATAAACAAGTGTTATAAACATGACTTTTAAATATTTTTTCTTAAAAAATTTGAGTTTCTTATGAAGATAGGAAGTTGACCAGGTTTTCAGTACATTGAAATGCATTTAAAGATAGATTTTATAACCCAAGACGCCAGCTTGTCTACTCGTAACATCATTTCCCCAGAGACTGGATGTTTAGCTGTGCCAAGAATCAGTTATTCGTTTCCTCACAGTTTACACCAGATAAGTCTAAGCTAAACTAACTGCAACGTGCGCATTTGTCGTTCAAACAACACATAAACATAGGTGTATTACACTAACTTCAACTTCAACAAGTAAGGTAAAGTAAGTTAACGTTTGGTTTATATCATAATTAAAGTTCTGTTAGGTCTGCGCACAGTCTTTAAAGCCAATGTTGACGTTACGAATTGAAGTTATCAACAAAAATTCTAGAACACCCAGAAAGCACGCAGCTTTCCTAAGAAAAGCCGGTGGAACGTCGTGAAGGCATGTGCATTAGCATTATCGACTCAACAACATTCTACAAAGCACGCCGAAACGAAAAACAAGCGCACGTAGCTCAAAAGACTCCAAAAAACACACGAAACGTGGTAATTTTCGTTATCAGCGCGCAGCGCAATGAATGTTAACTAAATTTTTAAGTGTGGCGATGTTAATTTTAGCCTGTTTAGTCAATGAACAACGCTTACTAATTCCATCAAGTTTTCGAAATAGCATCACATGCTATCAGTGAATGCGTAATTGCTTTCAAACTATTTATGCATTTGTGAAAGCACTTACATTATTCACCTAAAATTAGACACAGCTATAAACTTTTAAAACTTTTTTAAAGGTTTTAGTCAATTACAAGTGGTAATAATTTAGAATAATGTGATTTGAGGTTAAAATCTCAATTTTTTGTATTACGTTATTATAAAATAATTTTATAGTTGACCAATTTTGAGTTCAATGAATTTTTAGATTTATTTTTAAATTCAATACATTGCGGTGCCGGTTGAACGATTTGGCGTGATATTAAACGGGAATAAAAGTAATAATGGAGTGCGACATGCCGTGCACGTTCATTCTATAATAATTTACTTAAATGATAGCCGTTTCGATTGAATCATTCATTTCTCATCCGCTCGAATAACTTCCATTTGTCCGAATATAGAAAACAATCGAGCACGTCCGTTTCGGACGCAAAATAAAAAAAAATCAACAGCTGACGCGTCAATAACAAGAATCAATAAAAATAAATATTTTAATCCAATAATAATTTTAGCTGAAGTTTAATGAACTTCGCAATAAATTAATCAATATTCAAGAGAAAAAAATTACCTCTTTTTGCTGTAGCCAACCTTGTCGAGCTCAATGTGTCTGTAGGCAGCGTAGGTGGCCATTATCTCCAATTAAAAGGAAATTGCGGACGGCACACGGACGAAAAAAAGCAAACGATGAAAAACTGCGCGCGGTGATAGGAAGAACGTTTCGCACGTGTGAGTGTGGTGAACGACCGGAAGTGACGGTGCTTGCAGCGAGAGCGCGACTGCGACTGAACTCGCGATGCGGCTTCGCGGCCGCTTTTATAACCGGCGCCGTGTTGCGGTTGTGGCAGCACATACATGCCGTACACTTTATGACGTGTTTGGTGTTTTACCAGTGCCTTTACGTCGATTTATACAATAACACGCTTTCCAACAAGCGAATCAATTCAACACTATAAAAATGGCTACTGGTGTCATTCTCCTATGATATTAAAACATAGGTGGCGCTGCTGTGCAACAGCTTTTTAAGTGAACACATAATAAAATGATAAAAATGTAAACGAAAGTTGAATTTCTTGTCTTTAATGATCAATTTTAAGCGCAATAAAGACATAAATTGTAAACGGAAAATTGCTTTGCATCTTACGCTTGCAACAACGTATGCAGTTGCATTTTATTAGTGAAAATATTAATTGCAGTCGAGAGAAAATGCAGTGTTTATCTAAGACCTGCCTACTGAAACCAAAGAGGAATATTGCAATCATGCCTGATCATTATCATTAATATTGACTTCATCGGATTTAATTACATTGCATTAAAAGCGAATGATTTTACTATAAAGACTAAAATTGCAGATGCAAATCCTTCGAATTCAAATGATATTGTTAATACTAATAAATACGATGTTGTGAACTTGTGGATTTTCATTTAACTGTTACTTGGAAGATGAAACAATAGAATAAATTTCCTTCCTGTAGAATTATATAACATTTTACTTATAAAAAGTGTTTTGTGAACTAAAAAAAATTTAAATATAAAGTTGCGTTGAAGCGGTACGGATTAATGATGGAAAAGAATTGTTGTGACATTCTATATGTGCGCATATGTTGCGTTGAACGATAACAATATCATACGTCCTGCGATTATCTGCTCGCCAAGGCTCCCAGCGAGAGTGCCCATGACGATATGATGAGGAAGTTTTCTATTCTGGAGGATTTTCCCATGCGAGCTGTTATTAATAGCATAAAGAGCGACGCACACATAATGCAACAAAACGAAACGCATCATTTTGCTACGTTTTGTTGCATTCGCTGCGAGTGTGACGCGTATTCTGTCGTTAATACTAAATACCTATGCATAACTTGTTAGATTTTAGTGGATTTCGTCTTAAATGGGAAATTCCTTATGTGAACTCAATCATTACGAAGAGTGAGGATATTTTATGCAAGTTTATTGCTTTATAAGTGAATAAAATGTATGCAAATCAAAAACCTGGCCATGGACGGGTTTGATACCATTTAAAAATTACGCCTGTGTCTGATTTGATTAAATAAATTTTCCGCTTTCTTTTTTTGTTCTTTTTATTTGCTTTCTCTCTGTTTCTTCAAAATTTCTTTGTCAAGTTTATCATAATGTCTAATTTTAAATCATATCTTTGTTACGCAGTTTAAAAAATGTTGTTGTTTTAGAACGACAAAAATCTATTACACAATTGTTTGTTATTTGTCTTGTTCAGGTTATCAGTAGCAAATTACTATCGAGATTAACGTTAATATTCTATTCTCTATTGTTTATACCGAATGGGAAAATAAATAATGACTGGAAGTATGCTTCGGGCATGGTCGCATGGAGTTTAGTAATTATCAATCGTTGTAATTTTGTTATTAGCAATTAGTCGGTCGCGGAGTTATTTTTTAATTTGATTATGCAATGTTTCAGTAAACGTCAAAAGTAAAATCTTAAAAATCTTTGGAAAATACGGTTTTAAAAATGTTTATAAAGTCATTTGTCTAAAAAAACTTAACTTTTTAAGCACAGTTTGTAAGCCACTGCTTAAAATTTCAATTATGTTACGATTACAACAATCTACTTGTATATAATGACTGATGCATTGGTGTAACATTTTTAAAACGTTTGTTATTGAACATATCGCTTTGTCAAAATGTGGTAATCACAAGATAATTAATTATTTCTTATCCTAATTAAAACCTCTTTACATTTACCAATGTGAAAATTTGTTGACAGAATGACTAATTACTCCTTTCGTTCATAACCTCAAACAAACACTATTGAAACCCAATTTTAATGAAATTGCTGATTTTGTAATGTGCACTAAGTTAATTCACTTTTTTTTCTCTTCTTAATCTAAACTCCACATGCAACACACAAGATCAGTTTGTCTACATGTAGCTGTAGATGTGCATCTTGCCGCATCTAGGCTTCGAGAAGCGCGAGCTAATTTAAAAATGATTTCTAAATTAGTTGCGTGTTTTTGTTTTCGTTGCCCGGCGCGAGGCATCACACATGCGTACCGAACCCCGATGCGTGATGCGTGGTGAGATGATGCAATGCAATGTCATAAAGTGTCATTGACATCTCGCGCATTTATCCGATGCAAGTGCGCGAGAGCTAAAGCGAAACCGCACCAAGAGCATTAACGATTTATTTCTAAATTTGAACCGATTCGAACTCAATCTATTTCGAACGGGTGCAAAATGTGATTGCTTTTATTCAGCGTGATCTGTATCACATTCTGTATCACTATATCAGGTATATCAAAATATTCAAAATAAATAACTCACTTTCTTTTTGATCTTGTAATTGCCACATGTTAAATTAAATTGGTTTCTTTTTGTTTGCCAAAAATCATCTTGTTTTCATTTGTTCCACTTGCTTCTCGTTCCAGTTGTTTATTTAAATAAGTAGAAGACAAGTTTTGTTCATTTTATAAAACACGCGATGCGAATATGTTAATTCATTGTTGTTCTAATAATTTACTAAAATTTGCATTATTTGAATAACAAAAAGAAACTTTTGAAAATATTTTCGATTACACCTCATCATGGAATTTAATTCAACTCATTTTGTATTTTGTTGCTAAAATTACCTTTTGGAGGAATTTTTTAAATTAATATACTATCTACTTTCCTCATCTAAGAACATGAAAATGCAAGAATATTACTGATACCTTAAAAGTAGTTATGGTTTAAATACAACTGAAATTTTGCACGTTTTAAATGAAAGTCATTAAACATTTTGTAATTTAAATTAACTATTATATTTCTTTTGTATTACTTGGTGTAATAATAATTCCATATTAGTGGTTTTATTTGTTAAAGCATAACATTCAGAATTCCAGTAATTAGTATTCCAAGGTCCGGTTAAAGTTTAAACTTTAAAATGAAGTTTTAAATGAACGCAAAAATCTCAAGTTAAAAGCAAACATTCGCGCCATCTGGTTGCAATAAAGAGTATTACTAAACCGTACCTGAATAGATTTGATTACCTTTAGAATGTATGACATAGTTGAGTAATGATATCACATCTTCCTAACACGACTTGACTGTATACATAAGTTCAAAGCCAGTATTCGTATGCATATTTATATTTATTAAATTAATGACACACGCTCTACTTGCTACGCTAAATGTTTTCTGGTCTTCTGGTGACCGCCAGACGCCTGGCGATCGTCAACTATTCAAATGACTCAAATGGAAAATGCTTAATGTTTTTGCAAATTAAATTAACTTCACGGGAAAGCGTTAAGTACGGAGACATTAAAGTTGCATACAAAACTCCACCCGAATAAGATCATATATATGATTTATAATAACTTTGAATAAATTTAACTTTCTCAAAGACAAATTAATGCATTCCGTACGTTTAACTAATCTAAAATACCTCAACACATTTCGAATTGTTACTCTTTTGCGTTTTACCGTCTCTAGGGAAGCAAAGGTTAGAGTTATTACCAAGATTCATTGTAAAGTTAAACTGTTCGAGCTCGCGCATTTCATGAATATTTATCTGCGGACTTATCAGTCAAATTACTTCTTACTTACGCTTCGTGCTTGGAAACTTATTCAAATGGCTGAGCGCAATCTTTACTTTTAACTTTAACTTGTACTTATCCTAAACATCGCCGGCATTGACGTACTGAGCAAAGAGCCGAAGTATATAAGTACGTCAAGTGCATGTAAGATGGTTAAGTTAAGTTATTCTCAGTAACAAAAAACGTTTTTTTCTTCTTTGCTTTATTCTATGTGCTGATGCAATGGTTGCGGCTTGCGCAGTAGCGTTTAATTGAAATGACTTACTTAAATTTTATGTCCAGGAGGTTTTCTTTCTGCGCTTCTTTGCTCAAATTGTGCATGTACTAATATTATATTTTAAGCAACTAAGTAGCAAGCAACTAAAGTTGCCAACCACAAAACTTTTTCATTTACTGACTTTATTTTTTACTAAAATCAAGTAAATTGTAGTTTTTTGTTGTTTATTTTTAAACATTTTCTATCATTTTTTCAATTTTTTCTGAATAAACTTCCAAAACCATTTTTTATCAGCAATTTTAGTTGCTTGCTACAATACATATTTAAATTCATACGCATTGCGTAGATCATAAAACATTAAAACTTGCAGTCGTATAAGAAAATTGGATGCGCAATTGACGTTAAACGAGCATAAAACTTGAATTATTAGACATTTAAATTAGCATTAATTACACGCACGCACTTTTTATGACAGTAAAACCTAAACATAAGTAGATTATAACCGCATTTATCTACAACCGCAACCAGAAACTTTCTTCTCGTTATTTTTCCTCTTGATCTCAAAATATTTCACTGTCGATTCTTTTTATTACATTCGATTTGATTTGTAGATAGCGATTTGTTTGTTTTGCAGGTTATGAACTTCCTTCGCCACCTTTGACCCTAGTGCGCGTGCGTACAAAGCAATCCTTTGATATACATTCACATTTTATTACATCTATTCTTCCTATGTTCTACATTTCTTATATCGTATTTCATATCACACGCAGATCTCGCGTTTCTCAACTCATCCGAGTGTTCGTCTATAACTGCGATATTCCCGCTGTAAATCCATTAATTCCATTCTTATTTCCCGGCGTAGTGGTGTTAGAAATGTGCGCAAACACAAATGTCCGATGTGTGGCTCATGGTTTTGTGCTTTCGTGAAGAATGGCATCGAAACAGCACGAAATCCCGTGGCGAGCTTCTTCTTCTTGGCTGTCTCGCGTGCTCTCTGAATCCGAACACGTTTGCCAACTGCACGCTCC